CTCAAAAAAAAAAAAAAAAAAAAATCTTTTTTTATGCTTCACATGCAGAAATATAGGGTGAAAAGAGATCAATACTTCCCAAACTGGGTTCCTTAAAGCAATAGACTATTGCCAAATTTCAGAATACACTATGAATACTAGACACATTGATATCCAACTAAACTACATACGATGTCGGATATCTTTGCTTAGGGTTAAAAAGTATTATCATTGCTGTACTGTGTATCTGTGAGTTTCTCATGCTAACCACAAACCCTGATAGACATCTATTTAGAAAAGGGACTCAGAGGCATATGCCGTAAGTTTCCACTCAAGTGCACCTTGAGGAGTTCCCATTAATCTAAGAAGTTCTCTGCAATGATTTTGATCCCAGACACATTCCAGCTGAGACTCTGAGCCCAGGTGAGTGTGGAGTCCAGTCTGCCCTGGACTACAAAGAGGAAACCGGTTGTCTTGGGGATAGACAGAAGTTAGTTTTGCAAATGGCACGGGCTGCCCTAGAGTGTTAATGTACTATCTCATTTGCATACAATACATCTTGGATCTTCATTTAGGCCCCGGGTGCCAAAGCCTTTTCCACTGAGAGGGAAGAGGGCAGAGAAGCCAAGAGCAAAGTGCCTGCAAGTTCCGCACTTGCGCTTTCATCTCCACGGAAGCACAATTAACCAGGCGGCCCCTTCCCATGGCTTTCATCACCCTCGCTCAGAAATGAGCTTTCTGGGGGCACAATCAAGTGCTTTCAGAGCTTAAAAGTCGCCGCTCTTCGTCACACACTGCTTGTCCATTTCCATTTCATTCGGAACACGAAGGAAAAAAGATTGCTCTTTGTCAAGGGAATAAGAAGCGGGGGACAAAGAGGGAGACAAAAGACCCCAGAGAATTTATATTCCAAGAGCAGAGAAATAACTCCAGAGATGTACAACTGTACAGGCCTGGGAAGCCATGCAGATTCATACAAGGTAAAGGTACAGAATCTCAGAGTCCGGCTATGTGCATCCACCTAAGGTGAAACTGAGTCCCCAGAGACGTTCATAGTAGCTCATAAGGTTGGCTGAGGGTAGAACAAGGACCAGAGCCTTGATTCTGGGTCAGCTAGCTCTGCTGTCACATCAGGCTGCCTCTGTTTTCTCTTTCTTTTCTGATTTCCACGCAGCTTTGATGAATTTATCATAGCGTGTATAATCCTCTCTGTGGCTCTAACACAGATACCCCCTCTCATTTTCAAAGGCTGTTTCCCATTCCACGCGTTTTCCCGAGCTATGCTAATTTCCATAGGGATCATTCCTGCTTTGTTTACTGAAATCACCACATTTGTAATCTGAGTCATGCGTTTGTTTATGTGGTGTTTGGCAAGTGACAATTTCCAATTTAAATTGTGTTAAGCACATGGGGGGAAAATGAACGTTTTGTTAGCTGCAAAACTGAAAAGCTCGGAGGTAGCTCTCGCTCCAGGCACGACTTGCTTCTCGGGGCTGGAAATGCTGGCATCAGGAGTCAACTCAAGCCCTCCCATCGCTGCCTTTCTCTAGGCTGGTTCTTTTGTCAGGCAGGGTCTCCATCTCAAGACGTCAAAATAGTTGCCAACAGCTCTTGCCTTGTTAATAGCACCATCCAGGATTACGTTCTCGTTGTCTGGTGGTGCTTTAGAGTTCTCCAAAAGGGGGTCTCTGGCTTTGTCTAGGCTCCATGTCTCTTGGAAGCCTGGTTTGCTCAGCTCCTGTGGGACTTCTGAGATACTTTTATCATCAGATAGTTATTAGTATAGAGGACACTTGGTTGCCATAATATGACATAATATGGAGTATGTGATAGCTGGTGTTATGAGCAAAACAAAGATACTGCTAAGTCATGGTGAAGTCGTTTTTCTAAATGGCTGGAATTTAAACAGCATGACACACACTGAGAGCTTCCTAAGCTCACTAATGGCAGCTCTTGCCTGACAGAACCAACTTCATTCCAAAAGTCTCCCACAGACACCTGAGCATGCCATGTATCTGAAGTCTTAATGGCCCACAACTTCTTACAACCCAGGCATATTCTGCAGACAATGATCTTCTAAATTTGTCACTGTGAGCCCTGACTTCTATAAGAATTTAGTGTAACCCAGCCTCAGGCCTCCATCTTTGGAAGCCCCCTCCCCTGCAAAACCTTGACCCTTCCCCTGGGAGAGTCAAAGAAGCCGGCCAAACCTTGACCCTCCCCAAGACCACTCCCACAGGCTATTTAAACTGCTCCCCAGAAAATAATCACATGGTCTTCCCTTTTCCTCTTTGGTGGTCATGTCAGCGACTTTCTGCAACCCCCTCCTTGAGCACCTGAGAGCACCGGAGTCCAATTAAACCTGGATATCTTTTTAATTTGGTCTGATTCAATCTGATTGGGATTATTTGCATCGGCGGAGAGGCTCATTTTTAGGAATATTCCTAACATTTAGCTCAGAACCCACTTCTGACAAACTTGTGGTAACTTTATGCCCATCTCTGAACCAAGCCTTGTAGTTAGAGAAATATTATGCACCAATTAGTTAGTTAGATCATGTGACTGCCTGAGTAGCTTCATATCACTGACTATAATGTTGGGTGGCTTTAATAACACGTATGTTTCAGAGCCTGTGTAACAGCCCCTGAAAGCATGGAGCACAGAATGGCAGTCCCGCTGAAGAAAACAAAGGTCTCTTGCTAGGAAGACGGGAAATGGAATATTGAAAAGAAAAGTGGAAATCTATCGAAAGTCATGTTCTCCCATTATTTCATATGCATGTCTTGATTTTCCCAAATTAAGCTTCAGCTCCTTGAGGGCGAGGCAGGGTTCAATCTTTAATCAATGATCAATACATTCTTATTGATTACTCAAAAGAAAATAGGCACATGTACCCATAGAGAACACAATAGTAGAGTGTTTGGAACGATCTCCAAGGTCAGACATCAGTCCGGATGTGGAACGCCGGTCAGCACGACAAATGTAGCCTGAAGTTCTGCCCCGTGCCAAGGTGGTACTTCGGCTGTATATACAAAGTCAACATGATCTAGGCCTTGCCACTGTGAGCAACTTGGGTTGTTGCTGGAAAAAAAAGCAATCTAAGGAAGGAAGAAAGGGTTTCTTTTGGCTCACATTTGGAGGGACAGTCCGCCATGGCGAGGAAGCACGGCAACATGAGTTTGAGGTCGCATGGCATCTGCTGTCAGGAACCAGAAAGCAATGGGTGTTGGCACTCAGCTCACCAACTCCTTTGTATTTAGTCAGGGACTCCGTCTCATGGAATGCTGCCGCCCATGGTTAAGGCGGGTCTTTCTATGCCAACTCAGCTACTAACCTAGATCATCCCTCAAAAATACATGCAGAGGCTAACCTAAACCAGGTAATCCTTTACAGAAATGTCTGGAAGCTTGTCTGCCAGATCTTGTCAAGGTGATCATCAAAACTACCTATCACTCTTCCTTTAAAGGGATTCACTTAATGGAGTAGATAAAGCAATACAGTCGCTTGTTGAGTATGTATTTTGTATTCTTTACCATATACATTAATCAGAAAACTTCCTAAAATGGTGAATTTGCGTGTAAAATGTGTACCCAAGAGACTCATAGGTTAAAGGCTTGGACACTGCTGTTTGGGAGGGTCTAGACTCTTTAGGAAGTGGAGCCTACCTTAAGGAAGTCAGCTACTAGGAACTGCATCTTGCCCCAGATCTCTGTGTCTTTTGTCCCTGCTTTCTGTCTTCTGGTAGGTGAATGGCCTCTTTATCCACCTATTCCTATCTCCGTGATATTTAGTCTTGCTTCCAGAGCAAAATAAATGGAACCAGCAAACCACAGGCTGAAGCCTCTGAAACATGAGCTAAAGTCACCCCTCCCTCCATTAAGTTGCTTGCATCGGGTATCTTGCTGCAGAGATGCACAAGAACCAACGCAGGGCTTTATTGCCATATAGTCACACCTGCAGAAACCTTAACATAGGGTCATCACACAAGAGCAAAACTCGATGCACAAAGCCATGACGTGGAAGTCGAGCTGAGAACTCTGCTCATGGGATGCTTCCAACTTTGTTCTTACAGGGGTAGGCTATAACTTGCCTAGCATGGGCATGGGCATGGTCCATAGCACTGCCCCCCTCAATAAAATAGATTCTGATGTTTGAGGTAAGCTTATCAAAAGGTTTTAACTTTTGGAATCCATTGCGGAACTGCTTTTAGTCATCTGTCCTTTCTAGAGAATTCTGGAATTCCCTTAAAGGCCTTATTACCTGCCTATTATATATACACACACTCAAACACTCCTTTAATTTTACTTTTTAATAAATTGCATCCCAACCTCTTTTCTATGGGGACATCAAAACCATTCAACCCATTAGAAGAGCTTGTGCCAGATAAATACAATGCATTATAATTACGACTTTGGTCATAATTCTTTTTTTCCCTTTTAATGGAACATATTCTTTGTGGCCACTGAACGCTACTTCTGGTTGATTAGGCTCTTAGGATTTAATAAGCTTCAATAGGAAATGAATAGAATTAGTACAGCATCTTGAATAATGAGTTGTTAATGCATTTTTAATGACCGAGATGTTCTGACAAGAAACTTGTTGATTTTTGTCACCACAACGTTATTGGAAAAATGATCTGCACATACACTAGATGGTCTTTCATTGTGTGAAGTGGGATGATGTTTTGGTACATTCAAGAACACTCTTTGGGAAGCCAGTGTGATTTAGGGGAACTGCCGGAGAAGAGGGAAGGGGTGGGCAGCAAGATTGAGTGTGCATTGGATACTTGTATGTAATCAATTCATATAAAAAACTCTCATACAGATATTGCTTTGTCTCCTTTGTAGAACCCTGTTTTACAGATGGATACAGTGGAAAAGCTTGTCAAAGTTTCCCTTACCTTTCCCTTTTTTCTGTAAGCCTGGAGGACCATTTTTATACAAGTGTGGTATTCCGCACAATTGTTGTGGGGTTTTTTGTTTGTTTGTTTTCTTGTAATGTCTTCATCTGTTAAATGAAAATCGAAGGATACACATATAATATAATGTTGTAAGAATTAAATAGGATAACTCACGCTGAGCACCACTAGTTCACCTTCTCCCCTAGTGCCTTGATCATGTCATCATGTCAATTAGTGTCTCCTGCTTCCCCTGCTATAAAATGCTCTTTCATGGGGGAAATTTTCCATCTTAGTAGTCTCAAATACCTCAGTTTATTTGTGAGATGCCTAGGGTGAAGGATTGTATTTTACACGTTTTTAAATTCCTCTCATTTAGCGCAATGTGAGGCTCTGTTATGGCTTGACTAGGAAATGTCATCCATAGACTCATATATTAAATGCTTAGTCCCCAGACAGTAACACGATTTGAGGAGATTCTGGTAAGTTTAGGTGGAGCCTAACTTGATGAAGTTGGTCCCTGGGGGTGACTTTGGTGGTTTAGACTTCTCAAGAAGATGCAGAATGAAAGTAGGTACCAAGGATCTCTCATTCTTATTGTAGCATTGTGGCTTAAGAACAGTTAAAATTATGAAACTGGTTCATTCTATGACCTTTCCCTATGACATAAAAATTTAATTTATCCTTTGTTTTAGAAGAAGGAAATCAAAACTCCCTGTGATATTCTGTGATTACAATGATGTCAATTGTAGTAAAACTATAGCCAGACACCATCTTTTCAAGAAATGTGTACTTTCTAATACTGCTTGAAGATAAATCTCAAGGATGACATTAAGTCGAGTTGACCCCAGAAGGAAACAAAAGATGCAGCCAAGTACCCAGCAATTGTACTTGTAATGTTTTATTTTGGATGGATATCTGATGTACCTAAGTGGATTGGGATGTTTAATACAGGGAGAAATAAGAAATTAGTAACTATTTGTCATGGATGATAATGGTGCTGATTGCTTTTTCTTTTTAGCAATTACAAGCCATAGTGCTAAGTCAAACAAATCACATGGATTATTTCATCCTCACAGCATACTAGAAGACAACTGTAGTTGGAGAAGGGAGGCTTAGAGAAGTCAATTCCCTTGGCAAACACATAAAATTAATAAATAGTAGAGAAAGTATTATATCCAATTCTGATACAATCAAAAATAACGTATTTAAGTGATTAGCTAGCTAATCCCAAGCTTCTCCTTCTCTTTTTAAAATTACCACTGTATATTAAAAGAATGAGAAAAATGCTGTATATGGACAAATTCTATTTAACATTATAACAAAACCAATTGAAAGAACATTATCAAGGTTTAGCTGTAGTCCAAAACTTACACAGTGATGTTGTAGATATCTTCCATCATCTACAACTTCGTGAATCAATAGCCCTATTTAACACACAAGGAAAACTAAACTTGTGACAATTCAAATAGCCTCCCCTCGTTCCCAGGAGTGGCGGAAAAGAGTGACAGAAAAGAGATATTGAACTTGGGCTACGTGTTATTGTTTTGTTTTGTTTTGACCTCTTCTAGACGATTTTATACTAGGAATTTAGTCTACTATACAGAAAGACAAGATAACCTACGAGGCTTTTCAAGTTCTAAAACTTAAAAGACTTTTCATTTGTTTTACTTTGAGGAGACTTTCAATGGCATCTCTCAAATGTTTGGGATTTGAGAAAGGAATATCAAAACATGCTTGTTCTCTTGAGAACTTCTCTATTAAAATCTTCATGTGATTTCGGACAAAATCTAACCCATATGCTTCTGATTGGCCTCTCCCAAATTATCACCATGTTTTGCAGGGCCACTGGACATTTGGAGTTTCTTGAAACCTCTTGTCTTTAAAGCATGAAGTTAATTTTCCCACCAGAGGAGAGAACTTGGTTCTCAAAGGGAAGGGGTGTATGACAAGTGACAATCCATGGAGTGCATTGGGTTTCCAAACATGGCTGGTGTCTGTTTCTCCTCCCTCCTGTTGGAAGCCTCTGAACGATGACACTTCAGAACCACACACAGGTTTTTACCTCCTTGTCTGTTCACAATTCTGGATAGCATTGGACCAGATTTCAAGAAGAACAGAGACAGGAAAATTACATAAAGGACATCCAAACTGCAAAAGAAGACACACAGCTATGCTGGTCATAGATAACACAGTTGTATATTTAGAGAACTCTAGATTCTGCAAAATAAAATACTTTGAAGATAAATTAACAAACAAATACTTGATGGAACTACTAAATTAACTGAATAAAATAGCAAGATAGAGAATCAAAATTCAAAATTCACAAGTGAGTCTTTACACAGCAAACTGTGCAAAAAAAGGAGGGGGTGGAGAATCCTAGAGATGTTGACTTCAAACAACTGGATATAGTGATTGTCTGCATGCAAGAAGATTTGGGTTAAGCCCCAATACCATAAATGAGCATAACTACCAAAGAAGATGGCATACATTTAAAATTATATATTGATGAAAGAAACTGAGAAGAAAATATAAATAGAAAGATACCTTATTTTCGTGGATAGAAAGATTTAATATTATTAGAACGTCTATGGGACCCAAAGTGATACACAGACTCAGTGAAATCTCTGTTGAAACCCCAAAAGTGTTTCTCACAGAGACAGTGATGGGGGAAGGACATTGGTTAATTATAATAAAGAAACTGCCTCGGCCCTCATAGGACAGAAAATTAGGTAGGCGGAGTAGACAGAAGAGAATTCTGGGAGAAAGAAGCTTAGTCAAGGAGTTGCCATGATGCTCCCACGCCAGACAGATGCAGGTTAAGATCCTCCCTGGTAAGCCAGCTCGTGGGCTATGCAGAATATTAGAAATGGGTTAGAACAATATGTAAGAGCTAGCCAATAAGAAACTGGAACTAGCCGGGCCAGGCAGTGTTTGAAAGAATACAGTTTCCGTGTAATTATTTCGGGCATAAGCTAGCCATGCGGGCGGCCGGGTGCCGGGGACGCAGCCCCACCGCTCCTATCTCAACAAGACAGAAAGAAAAATAATTCTAAAATTAGTATAGAAATATAAAGGGCTCCAAATATCTTGACAAAGAGAAACAGTTAAGACAAAATACTTTCTGACTTCGAATTATATTGCAAAGCAATAACACTAAATTAGAAGGTACTGTGTTAGGAGAGACACGGATATCCAAGGGAAAAATTAAGTAATAAACTCAAATATAAATGATCAACTAATTTACAAAGAGCATACTAAAAGTTCATAAGAGAAAGTAAACATGGCAGTGCATACTGTGATCCCAGTGGATACTGAAACAGAAGGATTGCTCTGAGCTCAAGGTCAGCCTGGGGTTCACAATGAGTACCACACCAGAAATAACAAAACCCTGAGGAAAAAAAAAAGGAAGAAAAAGAGAGAAAAAAAGAAAAATATGGAAAAACAGTCTCTTTAATAAATGGTCAGAGTCTTCATTGCTTTTCTATTGCTAGGATTTTTTTAAAAACTGGCAGAGGCAACTTAAAGGAGAAGGGTCTTATTATGGCTCACAGCTCTAGGGTACAGTCCATCGTAGTAAGGAAGTAAAGGCAACAAGAGCTTAAAGCAGGTGGTCATAGTGCACCTGCAGTCAAGAAGTATAAAGTATTGAAGGCAAGCTAGTACTCAGCTCCCCTTTACATGTTGTGCCCTTCAGGATATCCTTCTGAGGGAATGATCCCGCCCATAACTAGGACGGGTCTTCCCACATCAGCTAAAGTGATCAAGGTAAGCCCCTACTGACACATCCAGAGACTCATCTCCCAGGTGGTCCTAGACTGTCACATTGACTATGACAGTCAGTAGTGGTGGGAAACCAAGACACTCACTCTCTCTCTCTCTCTCTCTCTCTCTCTCTCTCTCTCTCTCTCTCTCTCNTCTCTCTCTCTCACACACACACACACACACACACAATGCTACCAATGCCTCTAGCTGACTCTTCCACTGTGGATGTACAAAAGTGAGCAACAGCAACTTGTAGCTAAAGTTGAAAAGAGAGCAAAGATGTCAGTCATCACAGTCAAGATTATACTTCAGTTCTTGCCAAGATATTTGCCAGCTTTAAAAAAAATACACTGAGGGGCTATTATGACTTCAGAATGAAATGTCCCATATATAGATTGATTTAAATTCTTGATTGTCAGGTGGCGATGCTTAAGTTACTTTGCTGGGTCTATAATGTAAATAGTTAGATCACACATAGTACTATAGCCTACAGGATACAGAAAAGGAAGGCAAGGACAGCTGGAACTATGCCATTGCAAGAGTTTTAAATATTTGTGTGAGGTGGCAAAATATTCATTCAAATTATATTATACAAGGAAAAATTTTTACTTTATAATCCTTAGAATAGCCATTGATAATGCAATGCAAAAAGACAACACTCAAAAGCCAATAGAGAAGCTAAAGAGATTTTCATAGGACCTGCAAAAAAAAAAAGAAAGAAAGAAAGAAAGAAAGAAAGAAAGAAAGAAAGAAAGAAAGAAAGAAAGAAGAAAGCAGAAATTAAAAAGTGGGAAAACACCAGGCAATGGTGGCACATGCCTTTAATCCCAGCACTCGGGAGGCAGAGGCAGGCAGATCTCTGGGAGTTCGAGGCCAGCCTGGTCTACAAGAGCTAGTTCCGGGACAGCGGGACAGGCACTAAAACTACAGAGAAACCCTGTCTCAAAAAACCAAAAAAAAAAAAAAAAAGTGGGAAAACAAGTTGGACCATAATGGCACATACATTTAATTGCGACACTCAGCAGGCAGACCTCTGAGTTCAAGACCAGCCTTGTCTACAGGGCAAGTTACTGGACAGCAGGGCTACACAGGAAAACTCTGTCTCAAGTAAAATAAAATAAAATTAAATTAAAATTAAAAGTGGGAAAAAAATCAAATACTGAAGTGATGCATCTAAGTGCAATCATGTCAACAGTCATTAAAAGGTGATGAACTCATAACTTTAGTTGTTAATAATAGAGAAACTGGATATGGGGTAAATGGGAAACCCTTGGGATAAAAGTTGAAATTTCCTGTAACTCCAAAGTTGTTATAAAATGTAAAGTGTTTTCTAAAGATAATGGATGAAGCACTCACATAAATGAAAAATGTAACAGGGTATACATAAAATCAAGACAGACTGGAAACCTTTTTGCAAAGAAGTGTTTTACACATAAAAGTACATTTAGGCACAGTCTTAGGGTTTCTACTGCTGTGAAGAAACACCATGATGACTGGAAATCTTGTAAGAAAAAGCATTCAATTGGGTGGCTTATATTTCTAGAAGTTTAGTCCATTATCATCATGGTGGGACATGGTGGCTTGCACATAGACATGGTTCTTGAGAAGGCGCTTGAGAGTCCTACATCTTGCCCCACGGGCAACAGGAAGTAAACAGAGACAGAGACACTAGGTGTGATTGAGCATTTATGAGACCCCAAATGCCTCTGCTACAGTAACACACTCCCTCCAATAAGGCCATACCTACTCCAACAAAGCCACACCTCCTAATAGTGCTATGGTCTTATGGGGGGCAAAATACCACAGGCAGAAAGAAAACAGATGTACCACGGACATCTATGCAGTGTACAGATGTGCCACACAGAAAAGAATCATAAGCCTGGTATAAACTGAAATGAAATATATCTGAAGGCAAAGAAGCAATATCAAAGACAGAGGTATTACAAATTAATAGAGGGTCAACTCATCAAAAAGATGTATTTATTAATGTGTAAATATCCAATGAAAAGCATCAAAATATGTGAGGGAGAGACTGATAGAGTCAGCAAGCAGATAATAATCATAGCAGGAAGTTTAACTCCTTTTCTCACTGATAAAATGAACTGGGTGATATAATGGAGACACAAAATATTAGTAAGTTATACCAGAAAGATTGTCCCTGTCTCTTCTTCCATCTTGATTGTTTATACATTGTTTCAGGGTATTGACATCATCTCTGGTGGCACAACACTGTGTTTTCCAAGTAAGAACAAATGGGGAAGGGACATGTCCTGTTCCCTACACATCACGGCAAGAAGCCACTCACTCATTTCTGCTCTCATATCTTCGGTCAGAATTCAGTCACATGGTCACTCCCAGTTACATAACAGGATAGGATATGCAGTCCTATTCTGTGTGACCAAATGCCCTTCTAGAAGTCTGGGGTAGCATAGATAAATCTGGCAGCATAGAAGAAAAAAGATATGTATCAGTTATACTTTTCTCATTGTATGAGAAAATACCCAACCAAAGCAACTGAAAGAAGGAAGGGTCTCCTTTGGTTTACAGCTTGATGGCGAAGACACAGCAGCAGGAGCAGGTGCTGGCTGGTCACCTTATGTCTGTAGTCAGGCAGCAAAAGAAATGGATGCTGGTGCTCATCTCATGACCTGCTCTATCCACTTTTATTTAGTCCAGGGGATGGCATCATCCACATTCAGGGTGCATCCTCCGTCCTTAGCTAAACCTCTCTGGAAATGTCCTTGCAGACATGCCTAAAGACATACCCACAGATGTGTTTGCATGTGACTTGGAATACAGTTGAGTCAAGGATGAGGATTAACCATCACAGAATACGACGAAAAGTCTTTGACAAAACTTAACCATTTTTATGATTTCTTTGACTGGTCATTAAATTAGCAAGACAATTTTTTCTCCAGTTTATTTGTGTGTGTGAATGTGAGTGTGTGTCTGTATGTGCATGTATGTACATTTATATGCACGCCTGTGGAAATGACACCCAGCTTGTTGTGAGTGCTGGCTTTGAGCTCTAGCCCTCATGGTGACACAGCAAATGCTCTCAAGCAGTTAGCTATATCTCCAGCCCCCACAATTAGTTTTCCATTATTTCTATTGCTGTGTGTCATGTCATCAAGGATATTAAATGCAAACAAGCAGGACGTCATTTGTAATGGTGTTCTTTTATAGCTTCAAAGTCCAACTAGGTGAATGAGGGAACTTATTGGAGTCACTTACAGGAGCCAGGGTGACTCAAAGGTCACTCTACATGATCAAAAGCTCATGGGGACCACATGGAAACTGGAACCCTGGGGCTGTCTGTATAACTTACTGCAACTCCACAGGTTGGTATATCTCTGTCCTTAGCAGTGCTTGCTGCTTGTATAGTCTTGGGAAGGATCAGCCTTATGAATCCGATTTCAGGGATTTCCTGAGATTTGTGAGTTGTTTGCTTCACAAGCGTTAAAAGGTTTTCCTTATTTCATTTTGGAGGAAATTATTACACTACACCAAGTCATTCTGATAAGGTCTCAAACTGAAAGGAGGAATGTGTTGTTGGACAAATGGAAGGCAACCCTCGTCAAAGCAGGAAAGAACTTGTCTGAATTGTATTTGTGTGCAATGCTTTGAGTAATGAAAACAGGCATTTATTTGGAGTTATTTCTAAGTTAAGGGTGCACTTTGGCTCCTCCGGGAACTTCAGTAGAATGGGAAAGAGAAGATCAACTTAAAGACAGATCGTTTACTGAAATAGAGCAGTATTTTTAAAATGTGGGTTCTCGGCCTATCCATATTGGAAAAGAAGAGAAAACTTCTTTTTTGGAAGGTTATAAGGATGTATCATACCACCTACAGATAAGGTTAACATGGAAGGTGGGTACTGTTTGTTTACACCAGTGATCCTGAAAGCACACGAGAGACCATAAGCCTGTTTCTGCCACCGCAGACCAAGTGTGCCAGAGGTAGTTTCCTGGCAGGTTGTATGCTTTGGGGCTTAGGCCACCCTAGGTTTGACTCCAGCAGACTTAGGGGTTGTATGAGCAGTCACCCTTTTCCTGCACCAGGTACAGGCAATATGCTTGGTGTCCATGGGATTCCATCTTTGCCATAGGCTATGGTATGTGGCTGCCTCTATCTACAGTGCAAGAGATGTTCAGAGAATTCTGTGGCAGAACCGCAGAGACAAGCCTACCATAGGGACCCCCACTAGGGGCTTTGGAACACCCCTGAGATCCCTGCAGTCAACTTGGGATGCCAGCCTGGGTTAGAACTTCAGGGGGACAAGACCTTCCAAAGGGGTATGATGGCAGGGCTGCTTCAAGCACTGGGGCCCAACCACTGCTCAGCAAAGCTGCAGAAGCAATCCTCCCCACTCAGTCTGGAGGCAGAGGATGAACTTGAGGATCTTCCTAAGTGCGAAGACTCGGGGATTACTTGGGACCTGTTATTGCTTGCTTTTTTCCTCTTTTCTCTCTTTTGCAGAGAGGATACCCTCTGCCTGTCCCACCATTAGGTTTTGGAAGCACATAACGTTCACTTTCATAAGCTCACAGCTGGAGAGCAATTTTCCTCGGGATGAATCATACCTTCATATCTGACTTAGATGATATTTAGATGAGACTTTAAAATCGATGATGGAACGGTTAAGACTCTGGGGTTACTGGGATAGAGTGAATCTAATTTGCATTTGAGAAGGGCATGTGGGGGGGTGTAGCCGATTGCGATGCTATGGTCTGAATATCTGTGTGCCCTGTCTCTCAAACTTTGTATGTTGAAGTCTAATTCCTGAAATGATGGCATTATGAGATAGGGCCATTTGGGAAAAGGCTGTATCATGGATTTAGATTCCTCATGAAAGGCCTGTTTTGTTAACTTTTCCTGACACTCAAACAAGAGCATGCTCACCGATGACAGACCAAAGTATGAGCTCACCCAAGTTCATCTTATCAAATCAATGGGTTTATAAGGTCGAGGGGTTGCTTACCAGAGTATGGTGACCCCAAGGCAGCTGCATCGATGGCAGGTCTCACTCCAGCAGAGATGATGACTACCCCATGGCTACACAGTCCCCTCTCAGTTAACCCTCCTCCTCTGAAGACTCCAGCACCTCTGCAGACAACAAGGCCACATACAACTAGGCAGAAGTGCGTCGAGCTGACAGCGATATGAAGAGAATGGCTGATATTTAAGGTGAGACTCTGCTGGTCTCTCCCACTTCCTCTTCCTCTGAGCAAATGTCAGCAGGCTTGGTCTTGAGGGTCTCTTGAGGCAGTCAGTCATAGGGGCTCTAATCAAAGTGGCAATGCCTGTTAATGCTCATAGGACAACAGTCTACAGTGGTGCTATTAAAGACATTAGCCAAGCATGGTTTTACACGCTTGTTATCCTAGCAACTTGGGATAATGAGGCAGGACGATGATGATTTGAAAGACAACTTGGGCTACAAAGTGAGACCCTGTTACAAAACATTTTTTAAAAAATGAAAAGGAGACTATCAAAATACAGGAGCTTGTTGTCCCTTCTGCCACATGCGAATACAGCACAGAGATGCCATTAAAGAAGAACAGACCCATGTCAGATACCAAGTATGCCACCACCTTGATCCTGGACCTCTCAGCCTCCAGAACCAGCAGAAGAAAAATGAGCATTCTTATGCCTCCCAGCTTAGGCTGTTATGATCACAGCTACCCATGTGGGTTAAGACAGGAGGTCAAGGACTGCCTGTTCATTCCTCCCGCCTCCTTGGTGCCTGAAATGCTGTATAACACATAGTAGAGGCTCAGTGACCCTTCCTAAAGAAGTGTGTGTGTGTGTGTGTGTGTGTGTGTGTGTGTGTGTGTGTGTGTGTGTTTCCCAATCTGATGCTCTCATTGTTTGGGAGTTTCTGGACCTGTTCCACTCTTCCACTAAAAGCACAAGTCAGAAATAATTTGGGGCCCAATTTGACAAGCAATGTTAAGAATCTTCTAGAACAACTTAAATAAGAGCTTTTATAAGCAGGAAAGGAATAAAAGAGAACTATAACAGGTCATGTCCAGTTGGAAAAGACTCCATGTGAAACCCCTGGGTACCTAAAGCCTAGCTTGCCTTCCTTCTTTCCTTTCTTCCTTTCTTCCTTCCTTCCTTCCTTCCCTCCCTCCTTCCTTCCCTCCTTCCTTTCTTCTCTCCTTCCTTCTTTCCTTCCCTCCTTCCTTCCCTCTTTCCTTCTTTTCTTCTTTAGGTCCCGTCAAAATTCAGGCTTTCTCATCAAGCATCTGCCCAATGGGCTTGTGGAGATGCCTGAGATTCAGCCACTAACTGTTTCTTTGGATTTGATGAAGCCCCTGTTAGAAAGTGAGTAAGCAGAGATTACACATTAGACCGCTGTTAGCTAACACTGCCCTAGAAGACTCCATCAGGCTGGCGCCTGCGAAACAGGAACATTAGCAGCCAAATTTCTTTGATCATGGGAGGAGCCCAGATCACAGCACACTGCCAAAAAAGAGACAGAGCCAGGCAGAGAACGGAGAGAAGGGACACACACCAGCACCGCCCAAAGGCGAGCTAGGACAATGAGGACAAAAGGCAGGGAGGAGCAAAATGTCTGGTAGCAATGACTGTCACTTCATAGATGTTTCAGGTACTAGAGAAATGTTTGCTCAAGAATCAGTGCGGTGTGATAGTTACTGATTTTAGTTATTTAGTAAATATATCATTTACTGTGTGTCAGGCCCCACTAAGGCTAAGCACTTAGCAAATATGAACGTGAACTTAGCCAGATTGCTGCCCTTATCACAAGTCAGAGTTTAAAAGCTAGCTCTGCCATTTTCTGGCTGTGTGACCTTGGCCAGTACTTTGTTCCTTGTGGGGCTCATTTGCCAGCTATAAGGAGACAGAAGGGCTGGGGCTTTTTATGGGCTAAGAGCCATCAAGGCAGTTTGTGGACTTAGAAATGTTTTACAAATGATTACTGATGTCAGAATGAAGTCTAGGACTGGTCCAGCTTCTAGAGAAAGTAGTTTTAAAAGAAAAAATGTCATCTTTTCCAACTCGTCACCGCACCGATACCATCGCTTCCGTACCTTGTGGGTTCTGGAGCTGGATGGTTTCTGTTCAAGTCCTGGTTCCAAACCCATTAGCTCCATGACTTCAGGCAAGCCTCTTAATCTCCCTGTGACTCGGCTTTCTCCTCTAGAAAGCCAGGGCTAATAATAGATCTTCTCCATTGGGCTGAGGCGAAACTTTTAAAAGAGAATGGAAATAAAGTACTTAGGACAGTGACCAGGAATGAATGCGCTGTAAATGGGGCACCTCTCTGATCTTTTAAGCCCCACCCGCGGTACAAAGTAGGGATAATTATTGTGATTATCTGCACTTTCAAGGAGAAAGCAGAAGGCCAGAAAGGTTGGGTAACTTCCCTAACTGCACTTACCTAGGGGCTGGTGGAGTCAGGATTCCTAGACAGGTCTGTCTGCCTTGGGCAATTTTGTGGTTGCTAAGCAAATGTTCTCACTGTTCATAATGACACGCCAGAAGCACCCAAGAGAAACCTTGAGCCAAAGAAAAAGAATCAAAAAGTTGGAAAAGGAAGAGAGGTGACAAGGACCTTACTTCTCTTTAAGTACTAAGTTAATGCAAAGGGGAAACGCAAAACCTTCAATAAGAACAAGAGAAGCTCCCAGAAGCCACCTGGCTCCGCCACCTGCCCTGGCAGCATGATGAACCCTTTGTGAACCAAGCTTGCTTGCCTTCCTTCTGGGCCATGACCCATGCCATGACCCTTGAGACCAGACAGGCTAGAGCTGTAGCCAATGGGGTGTAGGTGGGTGGACAAGGACCTCCCCCAGATCAGGCCTGCCCCCTTCTCCTCCCTGCTAAATATTTATGCATTCGAATGTGGTGCTAAAGAATCACAAGTAAGAAAGGTTGGAGCCTCAAGATGAGAGGGATATCTAAGCACCGGAGCCACCTCCGAGAGGAGAGCCCAGACTTTACAAGAGGAAAAGTAACTCCCTCCCAAGACTGAGTCATCACAAAATTGAGGCTGGTTTGTCACCAAAACTAGAATAAATTTGCCAATATTTGCCAGTCCAGAGCGTGGGTAGGGTGTCTGACTATTTCCCAGCCAACTTCTACTTTAATCTTCCAGTCATAAAGAACTCAGTTGCTCCCAGAGTGCTCATTCGCCCGTTCCTCCCGCGTTCTATGAACATTTGCTAAGCTCCTCCCTGGTGCCTGGCACTGTGCTGGGCATGGGAAGGAAGCCGTGAGGACCAGGAGGAACATCGAGACTTCCTGTCCTCACCAGGGTCATCTTTCACTTAGGCTGCTGAGTGATAAACAAGTAACCAGGCAGAGAGGATGATATTTATAGACTTTGATAAGCAATTTGCAAGAAAGAAACAGACTTTGGAGACAAAATGCCAGGAAGGAGGATCACCTTTAGATGGGGGTTGGGGGATAAATGGAAAGCCGGCACTGAGGAGGTTACTAAGGTCCAAGCCACCATGGGGCACAGCCCTGGCAGACTCTGTGTGTGTGTGTGTGTGTGTGTGTGTGTGTGTGTACACCTTAGGACAACTATTACCTTTAACCTTAGCCCCTGGTCTTAACTGCATATTCGGGTCCAGAAAAGTCTGTGCTTCCTTTTTGAAACGACAACCCCCACATGTGCACACAGCTGTCTTGTCTCCATCATCACCCCAAAACTCCTACCCCCCCACTTCCAGAAGCAACCCTCCAGAACCCAGAGGCCCAGATGTTGGCAAGCAGGCACTGGAAGCTGCCAGCAGCTTGCAGCAAGGATCCAGGTGAATGAGGAGGCCCCACAGACTCCATGCTGAGGCCACGTCTGGAATCTCGGGGGTCCCACTCCCCAACACTTTACTTTTTTATTTCCCAGAGCTGACCGTGGGCTCCTCTCAGGTATTCGTTTTCTGGTATTGGGAAGGAGCGGACAAGGTTAAGAGCCTTCAAGGGTTCCCACTGGACGCCTTCTCTCTCTCTCTCTCTCTCTCTCTCTCTCTCTCTCTCTCTCTCTCTCTCTCCTGAGGACAATTTCTTTTTTCAGGCTTAGAACCATGCCCCGGCCCCGTTTGAACACCAAAACAAACCCAGCTGTCCCCAAGGCTGGGCTGAAACCACAGGAGTCTGGCTGGTGAGCCAAGGAGCTAGCAGGGAGAGTCACTCCTAGACTTGCTCCTCTGGATCCCTGCTCTGCTCTGCTCTGAGGTAGGAAGGCTGCTTGCCTAAGGCCCAGAGCTAGTCTCATTAGGATCCCTCAGGGCAGTGCCTCAAGGACAGAAAATCTGCCCTCTTCGCCAGCAGGCTCGTGGGCAGTATTGCCCAGTTCCGTACACCTGAGTCCTCGTCCTCTGAAATGAGCTGATACCCATATCTTGCCCGCCCTATTGTTCTGGGGCTCTTGGACAGTTAAGGGACGCCAAGCCCCAAAGCTAGACAGCGTGGTCCAACTGTTTCTGTGCTTCATCTGTGGATAAAAACAGCCTGCTCCTGTCTTTCTCACGCTTGCCCTGAGATCCGCCAGGCAGGACTTAGTAAAGACATCCAGAGGGTGTGGAAGGGAAGCAAACCATAGGAACAGGACACTGTGTGCCTACCTCCCTCCCGGGGAAGTCAGAAGAGAATTACACAGCTTTGAGCTGTTCTTCAGTGGCCTTCCCAGGACGACCTTTACCTTCTGGGTGTGTCTCTAAACCTTAACTTGTAGCTTTGAAGGCCCTCTTCCCTTCCCTGACCACTCCTAGATTTTGGGTAGGGATCCAGAAAGTCTAGGGAAGTGCCTGGGCAAGATGTCAGCTGGTCCCCACTTGCTGAGTGGTGCTAGGTTGGGATCAGCCCTGACAGGGAGCCCCCCAACCGTTCCACTCAATTTCCACTGCTTCAGCTGCAGGTTCCGATTCTTTCCTTAGTGAGCAGAGTCGTGTGGGTGATCTCCCTTCCAGCCTGAACTCTCTGAAATGTAATGCTTACTATTCTTAGGTGAAATTATTCTGACAAAAGAGTCTCAGAATGCTTCTCGGGCCTGGCTAGAAGAGCAATTGAGTAGAGGCATGAAGCTCTGTCCCCTTGCTAGCATGGAATTTCACGACTCTTGCAGGTCTCCCCTTCTCCTTTCATAATTCCTTCAGTGCTGCTGAGAATAAACACTTAGAGGTGTTCAACAATAGCCAGACTCAACAATATCCTGCCTGAACAATCACTCCTCCACTCGAGAATTCAGCCAGCGTGAAATCTACTTTGCTAAAGACTGTATCACTTTACTCTCCCAAAGATGCTGGAGGAGAAGAAAGCCCTCTGCTTCTGCTGGGCTGTCAATCAAAAGAGATGCAGGCAACAGGTCACCAACTAATAGACAAACATCATGGGTATAGCTTGGTCCTCAAAGGACATTAGAGTATAGCAGGAAGTTTTACACCATGCCGAAGGAACCCAGAGCAGGCCCTACTAAAACAAAGATCTATTAGTTATCATGTGTTATAGGGAATTAAAACAAATGAAACAGGGGATGGAAAGGTGGTTCAGCAGGCCAAAGTCCTATCACCAAGCCTCGACAACTTTAATTGAGCTCAATTCCCAGGACCCACATGGTGGAAGGAGAGAACTGACTCCAGCAAGTTGTCCAATGACCTCCAAATGCACGCGCACACATCCACACAGGAAGGGCTGAGATATGGCTCAGTGATTAAGAGCACTTGATGCCCTTCCAGAGACAGGGGTTCCATTTCCAGCACCCACATAGTGGCTAACAACCATTTGTAACTCCAGTTCCAGGGGAACCACCAGCTTTCTCTGTCCTCCATGGGCACTGCACACACATGATACAGAGACACACTGCAGGCAAAACACGCATACACATAAAATAAAAATAAAATAACGTTAATGGGTTAGATAAAGAAACACAGTCTTTAGAATAAAGAAGTTACATGAAGAGGTGGGGCTCAGGCCAGTAGAGAGGATGAATGAGGATTCAGCAGCATGAGTGAGCAGGAAGCAACACCGTCTCACGCTGTCCATGTGCTCGCCAGGGAGTATGACAACTTCCCACAGCCTGTCGCTGCTCTAGACCTGGGATACAGGAGGTAATGAGATAGGCAGGAGCTCCACTCTCTTACTAATGGTTCACAGGGATGAGTACACACAGCATTTTCATCTGCCAAGCATTCTGAGGAATATTAAATGGAGTTGTCATGGACAGTGTGCTGCCTAGTTTTATGTCAACTTGACACAAGTCATTTGGGAAAGAGGGAATTCAGTGGAGAGTATGTACCCACCTAACTGGCCTGTCAGCAAGTCTGTGGTTTACTTTCTTAATTGATGTTTGATGCGGGAAGGATCAGCTCACTGTTGGTAGAACCATTCCTGAGCTGGTGGTTGTGGATGCTATGAAAAATAGGATGAAAAGGCCATGGGGAGCAAGCCAGTGAAGAGCTCTCCTCCATGGTCTTTGCATCAGTTTCTGCCTTGACTTCTTGCCATGATTTCCCTGGATAGTGGAATAAAAGCTAAAAAATGAAATAAACCCTTTCCTCCCCCAAGTAACAGTAGAAATCCTAACTAAGCCAGGAGGTGACTAAACTGTGGTCAGGAAAAATCTTCTTGAAGAAGATCCATGAGTTGTGACATGAAGACAAACAATGTCATGATTGGGAGCAGAAGTGGTATAGGAAGTTCTTCTGTATTTGTGTGGCTTTCATTGATCATTAAAGAAACTGGCTTGGCCTTTTGATAGGGAAGCCCTTACGTGGGCAGAGTAGACAGAACAGAATGTTGGGAAGAAGGGTCAGAGACTGCAGCCATGGAGCCAGCTGCCAGGTCAGACATGTTGAATCTTTCCCAGTAAGCCATGACCTCATGGTGAAATACAGATTATCAGAAATGGGTTAAATAAAGATGTGAGAGTTAGCCAATAAGAGGCTAGAGCTAATAGCCAGGCAGTAATTTGATTAACACAGTTTCTGTGTGGTTATTTTGGGGGTTAAGCTAGCCGGGCAGCCAGGACAAACAAAGGGCCCCGCTCATTCTACAACACAGAAGTGTAAAGGTACTGAGTCAGAAATGATTAAAGTTCATAATGCATTTACAGGACTGAGAATGAGAAAGTAATTTAGAGATAAGTCTTGGAACACAAGCAGGCGCCATATCACCTGCAGTATTAGTAGGTGAATGCCATCCAACTGGGCATGAGAAGTCAATGGACATAAGCTAATCAGTAACTTTCAAGGATTCTCTCACTCTTGTAAGAGTAATGGATTATAAAAAGGTATAAATACAAATAGGGAGGGGGCTGGAGAGATGGCTCAGTGGTTAAGAGTATTGCCTGCTCTTCCAAAGGTCCTGAGTTCAATTCCCGGCAACCACATGGTGGCTCGCAACCATCTGTAATGAGGTCTGGTGCCCTCTTCTGGCCTGCATGCATACACACAGACAGAATATTGTATACATAATAAATAAATAAATAAATAAATAAATAAATAAATAAATAAATAAATAAACAAATAGGGAGATGTATTTCTCTGCTTCAGTGTCCATAATGAAATACCATAGACAGAGAGTCTTAAACAACAGAAGCATATATCTCTTGGTTCTGGAGAAGACAGCCAAGATTAAGATGTTGGTAGGTTCAGCTACTAGGGAGAGTTCTCTTTCTGGCTTACACAAGGCTCCTTCTTGCTGAGCCCTTAGAAGGCCTTTCCTCACCATATGGATTCAGAGAACAGCTCCTTCCC